AGGCGGGCAGTCACCTGAGGTCGGGAGTTCAAGACTAGCCTGACCAACATGGTGGAACCCTGTCTTTAAAAAAAAAAAAAGAGAGAGGCAGGGTCTTGCTGTTGTCCAGGCTGACCTCAAACTGGTAAGCTTGGCAGGTCCGAAGGTAGTTATCTCAATTGATTGTTCACAGTCAGTTACAGATCAAACTCTTTGTTCTACTCTTTTCTACCTTCTCACTACTGTACTTGACTAGTCTTTAAAAAATAAAAATTAAAAATTAAAAAAACTGGGCCTAAGGGATCGTCCTGCCTCAGCCTCCCAAGTAGGTAGGACTACAGGTACTTAAATAGCCAGACTACAGTCTTAACTATTTTTATTATTTAAAAAGAATTAATAATAACAGACTTTAACACAGAACAAAATGAATTAATCAAGAGCATGGAGAAGGGAATGTGTCATAAAGGAAAGACTGAAATTAATAAAATGGAAAACATTAAAAATCTTAAACCAAACTTTGGTTATTTTTAAATAGCAACAAAAACAGATACACTCCTGACAAGTCTAATGGTAAAAAGAAAGAAAAATGTATGTCATTAGTACCTTCAGTACACTTAAACAGAAAATAACTGCCAATCTAGAATTCAATGTCCAATGAAAGTATCCTTTAAAATGGAAGATGAAAGCAGGAGTGATGACTCATATCATCCCAGCACTTTGGGAGGCTGAGGTGGGAGGATCACTTGAAGCTGGGAGTGTTAGATCGGCCTGGACGGCAAAGTGCAACTCTATCTTTACAAAAAAAAAAAAAGAAAGAAAGAAAATATAGGCCGGGCACAGTGGCTCATGCCTGTAATCCCCAGCACTTTGGGAGGCCAAGGTGGGTGGATCACCTGAGGTCAAACGTTCGAGACCAGCATGACCAGCATGGCCAACATGGTGAAACCCCATCTTTACTAAAAATACAAAAAGTGCCAGGTGTGGTGGCATGCACCTGTAATCCCAGCTACTCAGGGAGCTGAGGCAGGAGAATCACTTGAACCTGGGAGGTGGAGGCGACAGTGAGCAAAGATCGCACCACTGCACTCCAGCCTGGGCAATAGGGAGACTGTCTAAAAAAAGAAAAATTAGCTGGACAGGAGGCTGAGGCAAGAGAATCACTTGAACCCAGGAGGTGAAGGTGGCAGTGAGCCAAATTCATACCACGCACTCCAGCCTGGGCAACAGAGGGAAACTGTCTAAAAAAAGAAAAATTAGCTAGGCATGGTGACGTTCACTTGTAGTCCCAGCTACTGGAGAGGCTGAAGCAGGAAGACCACTTGAGCTCAGGAGTTTGAGGCCGTGGTAAACTCTGATTATGCCATTGCACTCCAGTGTGGGCAACAGAGTGAGACCCTGTCTATGAAATAAAGTGATTAATAATAAAATGGAAGGCTGGCCATGGTGGCTCACACCTGTAATCCCAGCACTTTGGGAGTTCCAGGTGGGTAGATCACTTGAGGCAAGGAGTTCAACACCAGCCTGGACAACATGGTGAAACCTCATCTCTACTGAAAAAGAAAAAAAAAAAAAAAGTCAGGCATGGTGGCCCATGCTTGTAATCCCAGCTACTCAGGAGGCTGAGGCAGAAGAATCACTTGAACCCGGAGGGCAGAGGTTGCAGTGAGCTGAGATCATGCAACTGCATTCCAGCCTGGGCAACAGAGTGAGACTCCGTCCCAAAAATAAAAATAAAATGGAAGATGAAATAAAAACTTTCAGACAAATCAAGAGAATTTATCACTAGCAGATGTACACTATTTCAGATTTCAGATGGAATTAAGAGCAATAGAGTGAAATATGTGGGTAAAACTATTGACTATACAACAACAGTGTCTTGTGGAATTTTAAATAGATGCAGAATTAAAACACAAAAACATCAGCATATACATCATTAGGTATAAATTAAGGACTGCAAAGTCTTTGCATTTTAAACAAGTAATAAAAATGGTAATTTAAACTAAAGTAAATCAGAGATACATGTTATAATTTCTAGGGCTACTAAAATAATAGCAAAGTAAAATAATAACCTAATAGAAGGGAATGGAATAATGAAGTACTTAATCCAAAATAAGAAAGGACAGAAAACAGAACAGGCAGAACAAATAGAAAACCATTAGATTTAAATCTGATACACTAAATGTAAACAATCAAGCTTCAATTAAAAGGCAAAGACTTTCAGGTTGGAGTAATAGAATAAGAAAACTGTGTATTAGGGTTCAATCAGAGAAGCATAACCACTATGAATAACAAAGAATGAGGGGTTTATTGTAGGATTAGATTCGACACCATAATAGTAACTGGCGGAGGAGTCTATGCTGTGCTGGTGTCAGCATCTTGTGCA